GTCCTCATGTTCATGCCGTCCTCCCACCTATCCCAAACCCTCCAGGACTAACCATCCCTTCCAGGAAAGCTTCTCCGACCGCCACGCCCTACTCTCTGTGTTACCTCAGGTCTGTAGGTCTTCTCAGGTAGCGACAGCTTAGGTCCCTGGGTGGTGTAAACGGTTTGCACTGGACTACTAACCTAAAGGATGGTGGCTCGCACCCACTCAGCGGCGCCTTGGAAGAAAGGCCCGGCAATCTGCTTCCATAAAGATTACAGCCAAGAAAACCGGATGGAGCAGTTCTACTCTGTAACACGCGGGGTCGAAATGAGTTGGAATCAGCAATTGGTTTGGTATTCAGCTTTTTTTAGCAGTAACTTAGTCTCCTGTGATGCTGTCTGCAGTTTGCAGAGCGCTCTCACGGACCTTTCTAAACACAATCCTCCCGGGTGCTTCCATTTTCCTGTGTGAGGGAGAGCCAGGATTTGAACCCAGGTCCACCAGCTTTAACACCAGAGCCTGCTCCAGGTCTGCACTGTTACCACGGCCTGTCAGCTACAGTGGGGTCTATGTATATAGCCCAGCCACACTGAACACACCCGCTGGCACACAGAAGGGATCCACATGGTGTCTGCAGCAAAGTACCCCCTTCTGTTGCCAAGGCCCCTTGGGCTGCAGCGTCTCAGCAAACTTTTGTTAGCTCAATCAATCAAGCAATCAACCCAATAGTCACCGGAGCACAGCAATCACGTGAAATACCTAAGCCCTGACTGGATGCTGGATTGGGGAAAGAAGCTATAAAAGATATTTGGGAGAGAAATTGGGGGAATTTGATTATGGACTGCACATGTTATATTCTTGAATCGATGTGACTTCTCTCGCGTGTGATAATGACATTGTGCTTATGTAGGAGAATGTCCTCATTCCTCGGCGACACTTAGGGGGCAGTGTCGTGGTGTCTGCAACTTACTTTGAAATGGTTCAGTCAAAAGTGAGTGTGTTTGTGTGCGTGCGTGTACGTGTGTGTGTCCGTGTGTACAGAGACAGAGAGTCAGAGGAGAGGGAAGGAAAGGTGGGGAGGGGAGAGAAAGGGAGGGGAGGGGCAGGAGAGTTCAGGGACAGCACACACAGGGCAAACTGTTAACAAGGGGATGCGATTCATTTCACTATTCTTTCTGTTTTTCTCTAAGTTTGGATATTTTCAAAATGAAGAGTTGGCATTAAAATCCTAACTGAGCACCTACACTGTGCCAGACAATTCCCACCAGTTGCTGCCTTCTGTCCCTTCAGTCTCTGCCCCGGCCAACACAGTACCTGGCGGTTCTTCCTTCATATCTGCTTTCCCACCTCCCAGCCTTTGCTCAGGCTGGATATAATATATACATACATCCCCGAGAGGCTCTCCGCTCCC